ATTAGAATTGTACTGCCCAATAAAAAAGTTATTTATGATTCTGAAAATCTGAACACAGTACAGATAACTAGACCACAACCCACTTCTCCACCCATTGCTCTCTGACTAGCAGAGCCTGTTGATCAACCGACTGCAACTCTTCCAGATCTTCACTGGATTAGGAAATTAAACTAAGTTTGGATAAAAATCTTAAGGATTGTAATAATAGCTAGATGCAAATGAGACCTGTAAACCACTTCAGCTTATTTTGGAATTAAAAAAAACAACACAACCAACCAACCAGACAAACAAAAAAACCCCACCAAACCAAACAAAGTCCATATTTCTTTTATGGGAAGGAAATAAAAAAACAACCAAACAAAACATATTTCTGAAGAAAAGATATGTTATACTTCCACCTGCTGGCCACCTGCCTGGAAGATCATATGGATCTCATTCTACTATGTGAAGTGAGCAACTAATTAAAGTCCTTCCAGGCAAGGCATGAGGGACCTGACAGCATGATTTCCCATTGAAACAGAAACTATCCTAAGATAAATTTTATCTTTTGTGAAAATTGCACTTTTTCTTAACATAGAGGTTTCCAAAGAAAAATCCCCACCATTTCTAACTATAATCCTACCATATTCCCAAGCAATGGGCAAGAGGAGGCTTTACAGTCCTGGGAACAAAGCAGGGGCGGGAATGCAGCTTGCAGAGATTTCCAGCCCCCATAGTTTCTGAATTATGATCCACTGAGAAAGCAAGCTAAGAAATCCCTTTACCTGGCACAACTTGTTTTTCCCAATGACTGAGTAATCTTTGAAAGAAGTAGTATAACTGGGGCAAAGGTGTTCCGGTGCCTCCCCAGCGCACATATGCAGCAAGAATGGTAGTTCAACTACCAACAGCCCTACAGAATCACATCTCTTTTTTCCCATCTCTAAACTTTATTGGATGAGCCTGGATGAGGCTTTGAGCAACCTGGTCTAGTGGAAGGTGTCCCTGCCCATGGCAGGGGGGTTGGAACTAGATGATCTTTAAGGTCCCTTCCAACCCAAACCATTCTGTGATTCTATGATTTATTAACTTCTGGCTTCCTTAAAACGGATTTTCTTCAGGCTGCCACAATCTGTACTTGATTGAAATGCTCTTGCTTCTTCTGGAAGTCTGTAGCACTGTGGATTTCCCCTAGCTATGATCAACATGGTAGGCAAGATGCAACTTGCTCCACTTGAGCTGTTTTTCCTCTCCAATATACTGCACAAAGAGAAGCTGGATATTTTCATGACTTTATCTGAATGATCCACATATTATTGTTTTCATTTTAAAAGAACAGTACTTTCTGCTTTAAAAAATCCACTGATTTTATCACCAAAGGGTGGGAAAATCTTAAGATACCCAGATCATGAAGTGCCAGGAGTCATGCAAGTTTGGGAAGATGGTAAACACTACTGAGCCTGAGAGGAGGTACGATCCCATATTGGATGGCATGGCATAAGCCATTACTCCCCTCAAAATTAATGATTATGGGTTGATGACAACTTCGAAAAAGATGATTATGAGTGGATGATAAGAAGCAACAGGCACCTAAGCCATCTCAAGAATGACCAAAGACTGCAGGAAGAAATAATATTCTCACAATACCTTTTAGGCACTAACTGAAGATAGGTTCCTGTTTTTTCCAGTTTAGATTTCAGCAGCAAAGTAAGGGCCTGAAGCCATGAAACAGAGATTAGAAAAAGCAAGGCTAATTTCTGTAACGCAGTAAGCTAGAAAGGCATACTAGAGCACTGAGACGACTACAACACTGACTGATGTTGTAGTTTTTGATGTCTTTCCTTACTTTTTTAAACCACTGTTATGGGGTTTCAAGTTTTGATTCAAGTTACTTCTGCAAATTTGTGGCATCCTTCTCCCTGCGTAAGAAGTTTCATGCTTATAGATGCTCTTTCCAAACTCTTAATCAAGAAACACTTGGATCAGCACCAATGGCTTTGACCGTCATGAGATTAATCTCTTAACACAACGAAAAACTAATTTCTTCCTGTAAGTACCTCCACTCCCATTTTGGGAACTGTACCTTTGGGTAAGACTAAGAGCAGCATTCCAACACAAAGGAGGCATTAATGCTTGCCTAAGCATAAGGCAGATCCCATTACCACAAGCACTGTACTAACCAAGAGGAAAAGCTATCTCCACATTCAAGAGCATAAAAGAAAGGGTGGCAAAGACATATGGGCTGTGGATGTGCTACAGCATGTGTGCACAGTGACTGGAGGTGACAGAAGGCCACGTGTCAAAAGTGCTAGAGCTTTTACACTTCACTACAGTCTGACAGCCTTTTCCCTGGAATGGGAATGAAGGGCTATCAAATTTGAGTACAGGAAGAACAGTGGGACAGGGCTGTGAGAATCTGTGAGAAAAATGTAAACATGGAAAAGTGAGAAAGGAAAGAGAGTAAAGGCATCATGGGAAAGGTAGCAGTGTGAAACACTCGGGGTGAAACACTGGCAATACACTGATTTGGGGGAAGGATGACAGAAATATCCCAGAAGTAAGTGAGTGGTGTCATCTAAATCTCCTCTTCTCACCCTCTTGCTGCTCACAAAGTAAAAGCTAAAAAAACCATTTAGATAAACGCAGATGATTTTGGTAAAGGGCAGGTCCTCATTTTCCTCCCTTTCCTTGCTGTCTGCTCCCCCATTCCACCATCGTTCATGCCTGAATGCAACACTCTTAAATCAACAGGGCCTCAGTTTATGAGAGCATCGTCCTGAGCATCCTGCATTTTTCACTCCTTCCAACAGGATTACTTGGCAATTCTCTCTTCAGCTACCTGCAGATATGAATTCATCAATGGCTTTTTGAGTAGCAGTAACTTTGCTTACAAATGGCTTGCTATTTTCCCAACACTCTGACCCAGGTCTTGCCAAGTAATTCTGAGGTGTTTGTTGTTTTACGACACAGATCAGCTAGTGCCTACTGTATGTAACAGTTCACGCATTAGCAAACTGGCAATCACTTTTCTCTAGTGAATCTCATTTATTACCACTTGGTTTTGTCTTGGAGTGTACCATCTCTAATTTATTATACAAATTGGCTAGGATAGGGGATATCTGCTAGGATACAAGAAAAGTAACCTCCAGGAATGGTATAAAGCATCCTTTCGAAGAGCCACCTGACAAATTTCAACAAGCACTTCTTATGTAGCTTTGCAACATGAAGTTAGATGCTTGTATTTCTTGTGGCTGAGTCTTGGTTAAACCAGAAAACTTCCCCCTCAAATTAGATGGACAAGGAACAACATCAAATTTTTGCAGCTGACTGCCAGCAGAATTTGGAAGCTATCAACAAGATCCAAAGACAAACACAATGTAAGCCCTTGTGTTTAGGCATGGCTCATTCCTCTCAGGCAGTTATCTGTCTCCTGAGGCAAAGAGATGGGCAATATTTTTCATCTCACTTGAGTAACTACATCTTTCAGGCTATTTTGTTGGAGTAATTCTGGTTGTCACCATGTACATTAATAGCTCAGATCTCTCAACTGCTGTGGGAAATCTCTCAGGCCTCCACCTCTGTGCATTCCCAATTACTTTTAAGTCCTTAGAAGTGAAAGACTCTCTTGGCTTTTGCAACTGGCTGAGGCTTGAAGAAGATGGAGACATAGCTGAAGCTTTTCTTCTGGGCTCTTTAAAGTACTGTCGTTTTACAATTATGTTGTTCTCAACCTGGTTTTGTTACTGAAGTGACCACCAGCAGCCAAACATGACTCCCCTCTACCAGGCAGATCATTTCCATTACCCAGAAGTTACTGTTACTTCAGTAATGTATATCAGAGAGGACACTGCAAGTCATCAGTCATCCTATCTCCTCCCACAGAAGCATCTTAGCTGAATGTTAGTAACCCCTAACAGACTAAATAGCTTCAGACTTGCTCACTGATTCACCACATAAGAAAAGAACCAACACTATAAAGGCAGCTGGGTCGGACTTGCACAGATTGCCCTGCAGGTCAGATTCAACAGATCCTGCCGCGATACACTGCAGAGACAAGAGATGTTTTCAGCTGGTTTCACCAGGCTGGAAGAACTTGGGCTCACAAATTTCTTGTTCTGTCAAGGTCAAAGACACTGTATTTTCATAGCTTATATTCTGACAACTCCCATTCCAGCCAGTGAAGGCTACAGTGGTCTTATCACTGGATGTTCACATCCAAACCCTACCAAGGGAAGGCGTGTAGTTCAAGGGAGTAATTGTCTGTACAGCTAACACACAAAAGGAAATGAGGCGATAGCAAACCATCCTCACAATCATTTCCTACACAGACTTGAGGTTGCTTCCTGTAGTAGAGGCAGCACAAGTCAGAACAAGGCACTTCGGGCTGCCCTACTGATTTTTGTCAATGTTTTCTGAACTTTAGAAACCTTTGACGTTACACACATGCCCTCTTCCCACCAAAGACATAATACTTTATATCACTTTTCTTTAGCAACCTCAATGCACTTTCTTCAAATAGTAACTACTATTTAATGTTTCTCTTCAAGTACACTCAGAAATGGCTGTTCTGAGTCAAAACACACAATTTTTAAATTCAGGTACGTGTTCTGAGATAAGACAACTTCATAGGGGCAAAGAGACCTCACACTGCCCTAAATCACGAAAGTTCATCATCAGAGATGTACACCATAAATGATCACCATGTCAGAAAGCTTAAATATTTCCCAGAATTATTCTGCCTTCTCATTTAAAGCCATTTAAATTTTAGTGAATATATTTCCTATATAAATAACAGTGAATAGCTAACAAAGAATAAATAAGTTTAACAGAATCAACTTCCAGACTAGCAATGAAAATGAGCCTATCAGCAGAATCGATTTGTAAACTGTATACCAATCAACAACAGAACACTATTACAACAGTGCCTGGCTCCCACTTAGCTAAAGATTTCTGAATTGAAGCCTGCAATAAGGCTGTGTTATTGATTTGCTCTAAGAAAACCAAATATTAGAGATACTCACTTTCACCAAAATAATTCTTGCTAGCTCTTCACATACAGGCTTTTCTTCATCCTTCTTCAAACCTTCCAATTCAAATAAGGTATTGTAATTTTCCAGCATTTTTGTCATTATCTTGTTGCAGATCTCCTGTTCTTTTATACCTTCAAATCCGGAGGCCACGCTAAAGTTGGACAGAACACAAAGCAGAGTGTTACAGGTACTCAATATACAAAAGTTCCTGCACAGAGATCTGTAACATTTCAGTTGTGGACACAGGCTGGCTAGCAGGCACAGGAAACTTTGTCTTGGAAAGAAGGATTGTGCCTGTGGTGGTAACAACTATCATGGTTTGTTTGCAGTTTTTCTTGCCGATATTAAATACCATATCTCCTGGTCAAACTATCTACTCCACAGAATCTAGGAAGAGATCTAATTGAAACAACCACCAAATGAGGTACCACCAACTTTGCTAAAAGTTGGGTTCATGACTGCAACATAGACAACACGAAGCATTTAAGTGCTCCAAGTTGTTCATGGGAAGAGTCAGATTCCTCCACAAAGTGGCCTGTGATACCCTCAAAGGTATACAAGAAGGATGAATCAAAAAAAAAAAAAAAAAAAAAAAATCCCACATGCTGAGCAGAACATTGAAAGTAAAAGTTAAGCAAGATCTTTGCAGCTCCAGGTGACCCCAAGCTGTACACAAGATTTCTTAACCTAATTTTTGAGTTGCCATTTCTTTGGAAATCAGCCTCAAAACTCGCAGGATTTTTTAAAACATGGAGATGGAGGCTGCCTTCTGCAGAACAGCCTAACAGATTCATATAAAAGGAGGTTCCCAACATCCACTTTCTGGGAGAACAACCAATTACTCAGCTGCAGAAGCAGCGACCTCTTGCTCTCTTCAAACACGCAGCCAGGAATTGCCTGCCACAGACCTTAAAGGCACACACAAATGAAAAAGCAAGATCCTGATTTGGAAGAATTCCAGTCTATGCTCCTTTACCTTCCTTATGTGTTTCACACAACCCTGTCATGTGGTATATAATGCATATTACTCACACAATTCACTGAAGCATCTAATGATCATCTGCTGAAATGTAGGCTTTCTGCACGTTTTATTGGACTTCGGTGTCCAAAACTGACTTAAATTATTTTTTAATGCAAAAGTAAGATGTATAAAGAATCTTCTTCAGCATTTAAAATTTCTCCAATCATCCAGTTTCCCACTGCACAGTATTTTCCAGCAGATGCATTCTCCTCGCAACCCACAGAGTGGCTGCATGGATGTGAATTTTCTAAGGACCTTATAAAGTGGCAGATCAAGAGATACAGAAAACACAGGAAATATTTAAAGGGAAGAAGCAGGGGAGGAAAAACCAGAAACTAAAAGTTTCAAGTATTTTTTGACTGAGGGCAACTAGTGGTTGTACGAGAGGAAGAAACAACCAAAGGACAGGATGAGTGTGACAGCCTCTCTAATATCCAGCTCCAAGAGAGCAGAGAGAAAGACAGAAAACCCAGCTGGTTCCCTCCTCCCTCTTCACCACTCTCTTCCTCTCTCCCTCTTCAGCTGGGAGAGCCGAGTGAAGACACAGAGCAGGCCGTAACTAAGGCGATGGCTCTTCAGTAGCTAAAATTCGGGTCAATGGACAGTCACTTCCCCTGAGAGTAACCGTGTGTGCAAGAGTAACTGCAAGTGTTAATACTCCACACAATTAGCCCAGTGACAGAAAAGACAACGATTTATATTCCTATACGTTTGTACTGTTGTTCCTCAAGGGCTGTATTTCTCTGTATACTTGACCTTTGGCTTCCAACACAATAAATCTGAACAATCCAAGTTGGAAGAAAACAGTGCACTAAATCTCAAACCATCATATTTTCCTTTTTTGAGCTGTTTGACCTTGCCGTTTACATTTTCCTGTATCTTACATCACACTTCATTACAAGGAATCCAAATAGTCATTTTCTCCCTTCTTCTAGTCATTAGAAATAGAGACAGCACGAGATAAAACTTTCATTAGAACATCACCAGTACAGTTTGTCAAAGAATAAGTAAGGAAGCAGAGGAAGTAGTGGGTAAAGGTAGTAAGGGTTGAAAGTTTAGGAGATGAGATACGCTACAGAGAACATGATGTAGATAACTAGGATGAGAAGAAGAGAATTAAAATGAAGTCTAAATGTCTGGAAAGTGGTCCAACAGTGAGATTCATTCAATTGTTAAACAGCTTCAGTTATGGAGTAGGAGGTAATATGTTTAAATACTAAAATGTCACTGAAAATCCCTTGTTGAAAGCAATCCTTCACTATCAGCAGATGGGCTTTATCTTCTCTGACACTGTGCATTAACTACACAGATTCCGATGCTGATTTTAGATATGAGTGTGAATTTCTGACAGAAAAATCTCAGCTCTTCCTGCTTCTGCAGTGTAATTGCTGACAAGGTGGATGCCAAGTCTTCTTTCCTTGTCCCACAGAAACACCCCATACACTGCTCTGAACTGACAACGCAAAGTGAGAGGAGTGTTCACTTCAACCACCTCCTGATATTTAATTTCTGCAGCTAGTCTCTCTAGGGGCTGCCTGTAACCAGCAGTAAGACAGCCCCTGCCAAGCACTCCAGAGCTCTGAATTGCATCCTGAGGATCTCTCTCTGGCTGCTTGGCCAATAAGCGGGCTAAGCCCAATGCCTAAAGTTCAGTGCTTCAAGTTCTTTCCTACTCTTGTCAAATCTTTGTTGATACAGATGGTCACTGTACCAACAAGTTAAGGCTGCATCCATTAACATGGGAGAAAAGAATATGTGAACTGTTGCTCACAATCCTGAACTACCTTGAAAAGATCAAGATCTGATGAAACACATAGCTGAATTACCAGATGGTGAAAAACTTCGTTTAAATAAAAATCTACATCTGTAATCCTGACATATTTGGGTCTTCTAAAAAATGCATTAGGCGTTTAAGTGTCAAGCCTTGCTTTACCTGCCTCTTTTCCTACATAAGCATTTATTTCAATGCGTGTCACAACTGCAGGGGTGGCTGCATTCATACACAGCCACAAGAGCCCTTGTTTTCATCTCCAGTGAACTCTGCCTTTCTCAGTCTTCTACTATGGAACGATGTGATTTCGCCCCCTTACGCTCAGGCCCTATACCTTACAAACACTGTTACATCTTTTCTATGCCATCTTAGGAGCAGGGATCAGTCAAGGCAACAACTATGCAGCTCTTAAGAAGTATGCTTTGGTTTAATCTTAGGAATGCCAATTGCAATTCCAAACCACATCTCTGCATTCTACACCAACAAGTATGCAGAGGTAATTTTTAAACTTTCCTGAACAAAGTGATGAGTAAACTAAACATTATTCTAATAGCCATTTGGGAGTTTCAGTCACAGAGATTTAGCCATTGGACTCAGATTCTTCTAATTTATTTTGTTTGTTCTAAACTCTACTAATACATTTAGACAGGAATTCCCAGACTGCCCATACAAAAGTAATCTTTATAAATTGTTTTGCTTTTCCTTGTCAGAAATTTGCACTATTGTGCTTCCACTAACTCTCATATTCATG